CACAAGCTCCCTCCATACAAACACTACCTGGCACAGCGACAGTGCAACAGCAGCCGCCATCGATAAGGTTCTCTGGCGCGTTAACCCGGGCCACGGACTCTGGAGGAAGAGGAACATCAAACATAGTCTGGAGCTCCTCTCTCTGCAGCCAGGCTCGGTACCAGGCTCAGTACCAGGCTCGGTACCAGGCTCGGTACCAGGCTCGGTACCAGGCTTGGTACCAGGCTCGGTACCAGGCTCGGTACCAGTCTTGGTACCAGGCTCAGTACCAGTCTTAGACAGCTAAGATTTAGCCAAAGGGCCCGGCTGACTCCTGACCTCTGACCTCAATGACCACTGAGGTGCTCTGAGCCCCACACACTGCTCCACGGGTGTTAAAGCTGCCCCCTGCTGGCTGTGGTGATGAGTTAAAAGCAGAGGTCACATTTGGTTGTGTGCAGCGGTGCAGTGGTGCAGCGGTGCAGTGGTGCAGTGGTGCAGCGGTGCGTCGACCTCTGACGTCATACAGTACACACCAGGACACTGACAAGAGAGTGGAAACACTGGCAGTAGAGAGTGTGTATGTGTGTGTGAGTGTGTGTGTGTGTGTGTGTTATGATCCACCACTATTACAGTGTAGCGTCAGGAACCAATGGCTGCAGGAGCTGATCTGTGACATCACCTAAAAACTCTGTCTTCTTCTTCTTCTTCTAACTACAGATTGTGACTCTCACTGTAAGAGTTCCAAAGGAAAGATGAAGATCACCATGAAGAAGTACTGCAAAAAAGACTACGGTGAGTACATGACCCCACAACCCTGGTGCTGTGGTGGGTCCACGGGCCAGTGTTTTCATACACTACCTACAAAAACCTACTCTGACGGAACATGTGGACACTGAGAACCGACTTGATGACCATCAGCCAACGCTGAGTCACAGATGTAGGACTTGGGTTGGGCGAGCTCCTGGTTGACAAACAGAAATGAACCAATCAGAGAACCCAGAAAGAAGTGAACTCCTCAGCAGATGTTTGTTGATGGTTCCTGGTGCAGACGACCGTGAGCCTGGTGTGGTCATGGTGGGAGACACCCTGATGTGCGGGTGGTGCTACAGCCCCCCCCGGAGGTCAAGGGAAGGGGCCCTCTGTTTAAACACAGTTGTGCACTGTTTGTGCCCCCAGCATTCCTTGGGGCACAAACAGGTGGTAAATTAGGCAGACGGTGACGGATTGCCACCCGGAGAGAAAGAAATATGTTTTGTTGATTCAATTTTTGTTTTCACCACTGCCGTAACTACGGAGACGGAGGACACAAAGCCTGAGACCTCCTCTGCACACACGTCCCCTCCCTCCACGGCCACCAGGAGGACAATGAATCAAAGGGCCGCGTGTTTACTGATGCTCTAGGGTGGTGCTCAAAGGCAGGGCCCTGGACACCCCTCTGTGGGGGGGTGGGAGGGGGGAGTTCCCTGATCTGATAACCAGAAGAGACGGGGGCCTCACTGTGGTAATTAAGCAAACTCTAATTTCATTAGCTCCTGCCTGTTGGTGGCATCCAGTGTCAAGCTGCTGCACACCGCCCGTAGAAGACCAACTCAATGGGGGGGGGGGGGGGGGGGGGGGGCGAAGGGGGCCAAGAAACA